GTCAGATGTTCACTTGTATGATATAGTGTTTCTATCCATTATCCGTATCCGATTATTCGGATAAATCCAAATCGTTCGGATATCCGGATAATCCAACGGGTTATCAGATAATTATCCGGATATTAATAGTAAAACGGATATTCGAATAAATTCAGATTTGGATATCGGATAATGGATAGAAACACTATATCATACAAGTGAACATCTGACATTCATAAATAATATAAAAAAAGGGTTTGAATTTTTCGGTGAAATGTTAATCCTATCAATTTAAAGGCTTGAAAAGTTAATATCTAACATGCTATGATAGTTTAATAAAATTTTTAGCAGAAATTATTAATCATACGAGTTTATTATTCCTAACCATTTAGTTATTGCATATTTAAAGATAACGAATTTTTATTTTTTTTTGCATCATACACTAATTTGCTTGATCGTCTTCGCCAAGAATATTTTGATTTCATTTTAAAAATAAAAAAATCCCATAAATAACTTCATCCCAAATTTTCATCGTAAAGTATCTGTTAAATATAAAAAAAATTGCACATAGTAAAATATCAAACGTCTATAAATAAAATGCTGCTAAATTTTAGCGCCTTACAAATTTCAAAGTTTGGAATTATAATTTTGACATTATGGAGTTTTGTCAATATTGCCTTAAAACTAGAACAAGGGTTAATCAAATCGTTTGAGGTAAACCATTTCTTAAAATATTTTAAAAAATAATACATTATTAAAAATTACCAGTTTCAAATATAGGTAATGCATAATTTTAATAAAACTTTTGATGAAAATACAATAAAAGAGAATACTATTAATTCGTCTCCTGAGGAAAATACAATAAAAGAAAATACAATTAATTCGTCTTTTGAGGAGAATACAATAAAAGAAAGTACAATTAATTCGTCTTCTGAGGAGAATACAATAACAGAAAATACAATTAATACGTCTTCGGAAACACCACTAACAGAAGATGAGAAGATTAACATAAAATACTGTCAAGAAAAAACATGTAAATTCCTGTTTCCATATATTCACCTAGAACAAGAGACTCGTGCCAACATTCACACTCGCCTTTACACACAATTAGCACGATCTTTAAATCGTACATTAGTCATATCAAACGTTGGAAATTCAAGAGTTGGAGCGTGTAAATTATATTCATTCGACTTCTATTATGATTTAAAAGCATTCCAAAAAGACTATCCAGATATTCGATTTATAACTCAAGATAAATTTCTGGAATGGATAAAAGAAAGAAAAATCAAACCAATTGCGCAACATTCACAGATGATACAAGATGATTTTAATAAATCTTTTAAGTCTCCAAAAAAAATGACTATAGGAGTCAACGAAAGTACTAAACTTGGAAACAAAAAAAGAAAAAAATTTTGCTTGAATTTATTCAATCTAAATATTACGAATTATAAACAATTTCATACGGGGATTGGTGAATTTTATCGAGAAGCAATGTTGAAACTTGTTACAAACACTCTAAAAGTTTCACCGATAACAGAAGAATATGAAGAATATGAAGTAATAATGATATTAAATACATCACCTGCAGAAATATTTCCGAGGATTACCAAAGTAATTCCATATTCATCATATATTATTAAAGAATCTAAAAAAATCCTAAAAAAATTAGAGCCTTATATAGCTGTTCATTGGAGAATGGAGCGTGGACAGCCTGAATTAATGCCAGAATGTGCCAAGAAACTAGTTAAAAGATTAAAAGATATTCAAAAACAATACGGAATAAAAAATGTATATTTGGCAACTGATTTTCCACTTAATGGTGGTAATCCTCAATCACAAACATTTCATAATATTTCTAATTTCCATAAAGAAGCTATTGAAATACTTGGACTAAATGGTAGTTTTGCAAATAGTTCCGATCACATAAAAGTCAATACGTGGATTTCAATGGACGTTTTCTCACAAATTAGAGACGACCCAAAATACGAAAAAGAATTTAATGGTGCTGGTATACTTGGAATACTTGATAAATTAGTTTGCGTAAATGCAAAATATTTCTTAAAAGGACCGAAAGGTTGTGCTAGGATATCTAGCACTTTCACAAAAGTTGTCTTTACGGAAAGGCAAAAGTTGAAGGATAAATATAATTTTACTAATATTGTTTCTTCTTGGTGAAGTTCTGATGTGCACCAGTTAGGCAACGAAAACTATTTGCAATAATCACTTTTTATGAATTTTTTTTATCAAAGAAGCATTATAATCTCCCATAAATCATTTGGTCATAACGAAGGTTGATATGACTTTATGAAATTTAATAAAGTAGGAATCATGGTAAAAAAAACTTTTTATTAGAGCTTAATATAACAAATATGACATATGACTAAAATTTCGCATGGTTATATGACAAAGGTCATATCAAAAAAAAAATGTTATCGTTATATCATTGGTTACACTGGCGCTGCCAATAATAGATCAATATAATAATTTAAAGTTTTGTTTTTACTACTTTGCATGCAATTTTTATTAAAAAATGTCTTTTTATACGTATAATCTTTTTTTATCGGTGAATTTCAGAATTTCAAGATTACTCATCAAATTTCCGGATAAGTCCTAACAAATAAACTTGACTGGTATCTTTCATTTAATTAAATAATAAATAATCGCAGATTATTCATTGATGATTTCGGTAATTATATTAGGAAGATTAAGTGTAATGATTATATATAAAATCAAATATAATCTATTCAAATTTACTTAAAGTTATTATGAGCATTAACAAAATAAGCTTCATTATTATTATTATTGTAGTATATATTGTTTTCAATTACGTACTATAATGTAAAAAAAATTAGAAGCTGTGTCACCCAAATCTGGTAGAGAATAAACGTGGAGTAGGAAGTGAAGTTTAAACGTATAATCTTATTTTTACCCGATACACATTGATTGGTAGGGTTTAAGATTTTGTGGACAGAAACCATATAATTCAAATAAAGCCAATATACTTTGTGTTATTTTCATCAGTCCAGGACCAACCTTTTATGATCAATTTAGATTGAATGCTTAAGCTATATAAAAAGACTAGCCAAGGAACTAAATTGTGATTAGATTGAAAAGGACTAATTTAGGTCACCTATATTGCAATAGATCCAAAACTATTCTTTCCTGCTATAAGAATCTAATGTTTATAATGTTTGCAAGGCTGATAATCTCACATAACTTGTCCACCGTGCACGCCGATTTTAGGTTTAATAGTATTTTTGATCCAACCTTTTATTAAATTAGAAAGTAAACCTACAGTAATTGCATGAATCGCATGATTTTTACGTACGTACGTACATACGTAATTACGCACGTAAAAAAATGTGGATCAACGCTAAATTTGTGAATCCCAGGTCTAACTTCAAAATTGCTAATCAGAAATCATAGCATTTATTGTTTTTGGTCAAAAAGATCTACAATATTCGTACTGTACGTATACAATACAATACTAGCGACAAAACTTATTTCAATGTGTCAAATAATATTGATAATAATCCAATTATTATTGACAACATTGGTGATTGTTTAGTTTTTCGATTAATAAAAATAAATCTAATTCTGGTGTTCGTTCCTGCGCAGAACATACAGCGAATTTATGAAATTAAATTAAAACTTGGTGATGCTTGAGAATGTTATTGATCTGAACATAACGATTAATTTATAAACCAAAGCTTTTAAGCTATTTATTTCTTCTTCAATTTCTTATTCGCTTACCCTGATTATCAATCAGAATACAGAATATTTAAATTATGGGAATTTACATGTAAAGCACTACAGCTGTTTCCAAAAGACGTGGAAAGGCAATTTTTCGATGTAATGTATGGGAATTATGATGACGTAGAGATAATAATAATAAACATCTGTTTATCGTATCATAAACAAAATTTATAATAAATTGGTTTTTTCTTATTTTTATTATTGCATTCAATGACTGATGTGCTAAATACAAAAATACAAACGAGGAAATTGCTTTGGATATTGGTTCGTTGCGGAGTTAATCTACAAAAATTAACGGCAATTAATACTGGATGTATATATAGTTGTAAATAATGAGAAGGTAGCGATGGTGGTTGAGTTTTATACTCGATAAAAACTGTATTTATGCGTACAATGCGTATTTTTATTGATTTCTAATAAAGACAAGAAGGCAAAAATGGCTGCAAAGTGAAAAAAAACTCTCATTATATACTTAATACTGCAAAAATACATTGGCTCAACTCTCACATGATTTTTGTCAGAGGGAAATTTACAGCTAGTAGTACGTTATTAGTTCAGTAAATTATTTAGAAAAATATACCGATTATTTTTATTATGTATACATATATATCGGGAAAGTATTTTAATAGCTTTTAAGCATAGTCCATTTAATAACAATCCGATTTAAGATTTACAGATGGCAAAGAAAAATAATAACTTTACAACTAGTAAAGTTAAAACTTAAACCATTGATATAAATTCTCTGGGTGTTACCATTCTGAATTGCTTGCGGAGTAAATGGAGATCTTGATCGATTTCGGGCAAGTGAATTGGCCTGATCTTTATCATTTTCGTATTTATTGTCAATTTCGTTATTTTCACGGTTAACTTCATTGTAACCGTCACTATTACTATTACCATCATATTCAATAATTTCCTCAGTTTCATTATTTTATTATAATTGTAAACGTAAACTTTTATAAATTATATAGTATGGTAAATTTAAGATAATATATTAATTGTAGTTCCAGCATTTTTGAAATTATCCTGATATTAGGCCATACAAACTTAATAAATCGGTTCTCATAACCCGGCCGGGTCAAATTTTACAAAACTTTAAAAAAAAATTTTAAGTATATTTACTATCCGGGTGGGTTTTTCTAAAAAATTTATAAAAAATTTTATATGTTCTTTATATAGAAAATTTTTTGAAAATAAAATTAAAAGCCGGGTTGCCGGGTCACTTTCAAAAATTTTATGTTATGAGAACCGATTTATTAAGTTTGTATGGCCTTAAGTAATCTAAACAAATGAAGTGTTATGTGATTAATCCACATGGATAATACTTCTGTATATCCTTTTGCATATTATTTCTTTCTTCATATAGTACTCTGGATAATATTAGCTTTTTTGTATAAAATACTGTACTGTTAATGCAGATATATGAGTTTACACACTGATGGCAAAATTACAATGTTACATTATGATGAATAAGATGCTTATTACTAAGAAATTTATTTGCCTTTTATTTTACATCTAATTATAATATTTATAGAGACTTCGTTAGGAATATATATATTTAGTAATTATTATTTTGAGAATTTATGTATTTAAATATATAAAGTTTTAATTTGATGAAGGTGATATAAAATAAACACAAAACGCAATCCAACTTAATCTAATTAAGTCTCTCTATTTAAATACACGACTAATTTGTTAACTTTTATTTGATGCGCTAATTTTACAATTTACTTTTATTATAATATAATTATTTATAATAATTACATTACATGTTGACAACTACTATGTTACATTTTTAATATTTGGATTATTGGATTTTATAGTAAAACCAATATCATTACTGTAAAGATACAATTCCGTTAAGTAGTGTTCTCACAAAGAGCATCAACTAATGCTTTTCCTCCTTCTGATTCGATCGAAGATCCAACGTCGTTAAGGTAGTGTTCTTGCAAAGTGCCTTGATTAACCCGTTTATTTTTTCTAATCCACGACATTTTTCATAAAGATCCCGTAAATAGTATATCGACTGTTCTTGAGGATTTCTTAATAAAGTTCTAAAGCTTTGAGAAATTTGCTTTGGTTAAAAGATTCACGTGCTTCTTCTCTCATATCCTCAATATTACAATCTTGCTTTGAAGTATTTGCATTAGACAAAGATGAAAGGCTTGAACTTGCTGTATCATACAAAGATGAGTCAGGTAAATAAAGTGAGTTGATGTCGTGATCTCGCTTTAAAGAAAAAGTTTCACTATTTTTAATTGATGATTCATTAGGAATAGGATTATCCGAAGTTTTCTTGGAAGTAGTTTGATTTAAAAAACTAAAAGGATTAATTTTTTTTAGAGTTTGAAGAGTCATTGGTGGTCTTCGGCTTGAAATTTCCTAAAGGGTTACACCAAAGCTATAGACATCAGATTTCTTATCACGTTTGTATCTATGATTGATAAGACATTTAGGGTCTATATATGCCGGCATTCTGTGAATTATCGAGTTTGAAGTCATAGAAAACTCTTTTATCTGTTTTGATAGATCAAAATCCGTGATTTTTGGTTGTTTTTGATGACTTAAAATATTCTTCGAATGCTATAAAATATACCAAAATATTAATTACTATAGTTAAAACTTGAAAACATATAAAAATAATACACATGCAAGATCTCTATGAATAATATCATTATTATGTAAAAATAAAAGTCCAAATGCTATTTCCTTAGTGATAAATAGCTTGTTTATCCACTGCAATTTTGCAATATTTACTTTCAGGTATTCTCTTAAATTTCCGTATTTAATGGTATTAATAGTTAATAGTAATTTTATACAAATTTAGAGCTTTTAAATTGTATATATACCTTTCGTAACTCCGTAGAACTTAATAATATTAGGATGGTAACAAACCTTTAGTGATAGCTTAAGCTTTTATATCATAATTGTAGAAATGTAGAAATTTAGTATTATCAAATAATGCAAAGGAGTAATGCAAGTAGTAATATAATAAATTCTTCTTTAATAAAATCTTTAAAATTTCTTCATTTATATTGGTGTCGATTTTAAGACATTTAAGGGCAACCGTTAAATCACAATCTTTCCATTCGTATTTAAAAACATTTCCAAATCCACCGCTGCCAATAATTGTAGAACATGTAAATTTATTATATTCAAAATTATTAATATATCCTACGGAAATGGCTTTTTCAAACCATTCTTTCGGTGATTTTTTGCCATGAATTTTGTATAACGAACAAAAAATATATAGTATCACCTAAATAAGCCAACTTCTCTTACATTATTATAAACGACTAGCCGATTTTTTATTCAATTTCTAGCCTGAAAATATGCTTAGAAGAGAAATGATTCTATCACTTCTCTTATCAACCGCCCGGCCCACAAAGGTGCAGGCTGAGGGTCGACCCACCCATCGA